GAGATGTTCGACCTGCATTGACCCCAGCCCACAAGCCCTTAAAAGATACACATAAAACAAAGTCACAAAACAATGAAAATAAATACTACTGTTTAAATGTTTAAAAATATAAAATATTTTCATGTATTAGAAAAAATTATATAATAATTTTTAATTAAGTCACATGATTGTAGTATGCTAAACTTATAGTGAAAACAACTATTTCTGTTTAAATTGTTGTTACATTTAAATTTAACCTGTTTAAACTCCCTCCAGATTAAAATGTACTTTCAAAGGACACATAGCTCACAGTATTTTTTTTGGATACTTGAGTTTAATTACATACTTTCTTTGGTTTAATATTTAGTGGTGCCAGTGTATTGGACATTTTTTTTTATTACAGATCATTTAATATAACTGTTTCTACAACAGATTAAATTCTTAAAATTGCAATCGTCTGCTGCATTACCGAAACAACGAACACTACATGTACCAGATTAACAATTGCATTCACTTGTAAGACGTAAGATATCACAAATATTTTGATGTCTTTGACAATTCAAACATGAGCCGAAAACAGAGACAATCGGCTCCACAACTTAGCATGTGGCAATATGGGAAAAACCAGCTCCCCTCCTTTTTTCCATTTACATTTAAAACGTTTTTCAACTCACACAGAACGGTCATTTCAAAGTCTGAATGTTCTAAATCAACCCAAGTGACATTATCTATCATGTTTAAAATCATTTGAAATGCCTCTGTGCGACTGGTACAATGGTCTCATTCCCTCAAAAATAGACCGAATCAAAACAATAGATATATAACTTCAGGTATCTTTTGAACCACTGTGAAGTGTGTACCTTTCCTATAGGCAGAAACTCTTTCACTAAATGCAAATGCTTTTTGTTATTCACATACCACCTTCCTTGAGGGGAAGGGGAAGAATTTGAAAAAAAAAAATGGTAGTTCCCATTTGGGCAAGCGCTGATTTTCACAGAGGAAAAACAAAAACAGAGGCAGGGGAGAAAGACAGTGTGTTTAATGATAGAGGAATGTTTGATACTGCACGTTGTATAAGAGAAAAAACCTCTGCATTTCTCGGTAACTCAGATGCACTCTGTAGGTCAGAAAGCCGTGTGTGTAAACAATCCTGTCACAAAATGCTGCGAAAATTAAACACGACGGTCGGCAATAGTTTGCTTGCAGTATTCACATGTTTACACTGAGAGCAGCATTTACAGCGGATTTTTCAGACGATACGAACTATAACTTTGCCATCTGAATGAACAAAGGAAGGGCACTAATCGCACAAACTTGCCAAATCTGTAGACAGGACAATCAGCACATACTGGAGCTGTGTCTTTTTTTAAAGGAGACGAGCAGCAAATCCGGATTTCACCATTTTCAGATGAGAAAAGCTCTAGAGTAGAAAATGTTCCTTACAAACGTTTTTCTGCCACGCGTCGCGTGCACTGTAATCCACACGTGAGTCCAGCAGCGCTCTCATAGAGAGAAAATGAAAACAAAACCTTCCTTGCAGCATATATTTCATTTTAAGTGAAATATATGAGTCCAAATAGTGTTTTTAGCAGTTTGGGACGCATATACGACTGTCAACAGATCAAATGTGTTTTGGTGTTTCATGACCCTTCAAAATGGACTGCTTAAAAACTGCTTTTATTCTGTTATTAATAACTGCTTTTAGTCTAGCTGAAATAAAACAAGTAAGACTTTTTCTATATGAAAAAAAAAATAATAGGAAATACTGTGAAAAATTACTTGCTCTGTAAAGCATAATTAAGGAAATATTTGGAAACAACATTGGAATAATTTTGACTTCAACTGTATGTAGATGGCAAATACTTTAACTTTCAAACACCATTTACTTAGACACAATTTACATAGAATTTGTAAAATTTACTTAAAATCACTCTTTGAAAATGTGACTTATAATACGTACTCTTCTTTAATACTTTTAGTAGGGCTACTTTATACATATACTTTGAGTAGTATTTAGAAGAGATACTTTGTCATACTTGTACTACATTTTTGGCAAGTAATTGTTCTTTTATTTCTGAATCAACTGGTACATAAGTCGATAGTTTTGGCAATCCTGTTTGTGGTAATGTAGAATTACAGGCTGAATTAAATATATGTCAAATACATTACCATCAATGAGAATGTTGTCTATATGGTGTACCTGGGCAGCTGCCTCCTCATAGCCAGTGGTCCCATTTATTTGCCCAGCCAAGAATAGACCCTGAGTGTTCTTTAACTGTAGCCATGGGAAAAGTTGTGTTGGACAGACAAAGTCATATTGTACTCCATAACCTAAAGTAAAACATTACAAGACATGTAATTAGTTCTTTATGTACAACCCATTACATATTAACACTGCAATCCCCACTAGGAATTTACTCTGTCCTAACAACCCTGTTGTTTATCAAGTAAATTGCAAAAAAGCATGGATACAGCCAATTTTTTACGTGAAATTATATATATATATATTTTTTTTAACTAAAATCTGTTTCCAGCTTACAGTAGCTTAAACAAAACATTGTATGTTCAACTGTTGAGTTTATTTTCTGCTGAAAAAATAATTAATTACTGTATGTTGAAAACCAGTAGCCACTGATTTTATACAATTTAATATGAAAGTCAACATATACCAGTTTCCAATATTGTTTAAACTATACTATGTGCTCAACAGTAGAAATAATGTAAACTTATTTGCATCAAGTGGAAGAGAAACAAATGAAGACCATTTTTATTTTTAGAAAAACCAAACTTCTAATTAACTTCTAACTATTTCCCCAGTTAAACCCCTTATTATTGGACTACATATTAGTTTACGTTTGTGTATTATATGTATCTATTACACACACATACAGATACATTACTATACAAAAAAAATACACACACACACACACACACACACACACACACACACACACACACACACACACACACACACACACACACACACACACACACACACACACACACACACACACACACACACACACACACACACACACACAGTTGCAGGTTAGGGAAATTAGGCAAGTTATTGTATAATGATGTTTTGTTCTGTAGATTATCAGGAAAAAAATATAGCTTAATGGGGCTTATAATTTTTTCCTTAAAATGTCTTTTAAAAATTAAAAACTGCTTTTATTCTAGCCAAAATAAAAAAATAAGATTGTTTCAGGAAAAAAAAATATTATCAGACATACTGTGAAAATTACCTTGCTCTGTTAAACATCATTTGGGAATTATTTAAAAAAGAATGTAATATATATATTTATATATATATATATATATATATATATATATATATATATATATATATATATATATATATATATATATATATATATATATATATATATATATATATTTATTTTTATTTATTTATTTAATGTATGTATTTAATTCCTTTTCAACATAAAGTGGCATGTCCAAAATGATCAAATACTCAATAATCAAAAGAAAAGCTTTTATGGGCTATACCAGCAATCAAATTGTTCCTAAAATTGCTAAACAGCTCTTTGTATGTCTCCACTGGTATTTTTGGCCATTTTTGACCACCTTTAGCTTTATTCACAGATTCTTAATTGGACTTAGGTAAGGACTGCCTGCTGTTTATGTTGAGAATTTTGATGTATTGCTCCTTTTTTATGGTGCTGTTTACTTTAATTAGGTTCACTGGTCAACTGGCTGCAAACCAGTTTTATATATATTTTATATATTTTAAATATTTGTCTCTTATCAACTGCATTGTGCCACTTTAACATATTTTCTCTTCATTAACTATAAAGAGCACCTGCAGATCATCTGCTGGCATTTGAAACAGTCAATGAAGTATTGTAGGAATCACTACAATAGGACTTATTTGTTGTTTATCTTATTTTCATTGCATCTACATCAGCAATCTATCTAAAACTACTATTATCCATGCAGTTTACTCATTCTGCCGTTTTCAGTTCTTTTTTAACTGGAAAAGTCCCAGTTTATCCCCTTAGTGAACACCAGTACACCATCTTTAGGTGTTTTATTATTCTAAACTTCCTCTGCATTTCCCCCTGCAGCCCTGAGAATGTTCTGAAGCTTCTCATTCTGTTTTTAAGGACTGATAATTTATTCCATCACATTTCTCAGGCAAAGATGCTGATGCCAAATTGTACACTATACTGCCATTAAATATTAGCATTGACCACCGGGTTAATCAGTTTCCTGCTCTGATCTCAAGCCTTGGCAAATAACTGAGAAAGCACCAATCTGAGGTCACATTTTTATAAATCTTTTACAGTATTTAAAAAATACGAAACAGAAATACAAGACACTAAAGTATTTTATACCAAATATTAACCTATTTTCATAAACACCATAAAATACACAAATTCATTCATTTTCTTTTTTGGCTTAGTTCCTTTATTAATCTAGTCTCCAAAGCTAAATGAACTGCCAACTTATCCAGAATAAGTTTTACGCAGTGGATGCCTTTCTAGCTTTATGAGCTTTTTAGCTCATAAATACTCATAAATACTGCCCATCCCTATGTGTGTGTGTTTGTGTGTGTGTGTGTGTGTGTGTGTGTGTGTGTGTGTGTGTGTGTGTGTGTGTGTGTGTGTGTGTGTGTGTGTGTGTGTGAACAGTGAGTACGAGCTACAGATGTGTCTGTGTGAATGTCAATGTTAATGTGTAAAAATACATTTTTCTTAAATTTTTCACTCTTTGTTATATAACAGACATTGGATAAAATCATTGAAGGTTTTTTTTCCTCATTATTGTGCACACAGCACCTCACATTGAAAAAAAACATTTTTTTGACATTTTTGTAGATTTATTAAGAAGAAAAACTGATTCATGACTGATTCACACAAGGATTCACTTCTTTCTGTTTTGCTACTGTAAAAAGCCTCCCGCTACTAGCAGCTTTCATTCCTGAGATGGGAAAACATAGATGGCTGTGAAAATGCCTCTGGTTCAGACTGATTCAGAATCTCACTTCTTTACAGACTTCTGCTAGATCACAGAGGACTGCTTCACCATGGACCCCCACAGCATACAGCCGGTGAGTTCTGTAAATTACTTCAGCTACTGTTTTGAAAACAGAAAAACGGAACGAGACTTGAAAATGATCATGATAACTGATGGCATAAACAAGGTGCAAGACTAAAAGGTACTTGTGAGGTCAGATCACAGAACAGGGGTTCAAGGCTGAACCAATCGCAGACAAATCAGGACACTGATTGTTGGAGATTCTATAATCAGGAATTTTAGGAGCAGGGCTACAATGACATACTGCTTCCCTCATGCCACAGTTTCTGATGTTAACAAAGAACTTGAGAACATTTTGAAGAAGCACAAGACTGCTAAACAGATTATCATCAAAAGCACTCAGAACTGCACAAAAGGGATTTCTGTGAACTCTTGGAACCAGAGGGAAGATTGAAAATTCAGCCGTTCATTAGTGGACCATGAATAATAAAAGGAACTAGAATTGTACATTTCCTAAAGGAAATGTGAATGGGGTTTGCGTGGCAAATCGATGGGGTAAAAAAATGATACTAAACTGGGCAAAATAGCAAGAAATGCGGAGAAATGGTTCAATTCATGTGTTTATGTGGTTGCTAGGGTAATGTAAATGGTTGCTTGGCTGCGGCAACGCCATTTTAGTAGGTGAACCCAATAAAGATTTGATCAGTCTGCATCAAAAGAACCCAAACCCTGTCTTTCTATGATATTCTTGGGCTGAAATATGACTTGTTTATGTTGTTTTATGGTTGTTAGGGGGCTTAAAGTGGTTGCTAGGGGGTGTTTACAAATTTGTTATGTCACTACGTAATACCGACTTGATAGGCCGAGTAAAACGAGCCCACTCTCAAGCTTCTACGACTTACTAATCTCCATATCAATGTCAGCCATTTTGTGTCCATGTTAAGTCAATGGGGATTTTTGGATGTCAGCCATTTTGTGGCAATGTCAGCCATTTTGTGCCAATGTTATGTCTATGGAACCATTTTGGGTTGCGTTTTTGCCTCAAAAGGGAGCACTTTACCACTGTCCACTACATGATTATCATGTTGTTAGAATGATGCTAGCATGATGCTAATCATGTTAGCATCACGCTAGCAACATGCTAATCGAGTTGCTAGCATCATGGTAACATGATTAGCATGTAGCTAGCATGATGCTAATCGTGTTAGCATCATGCTAACGACATTCTAATCGAGTTGCTAGCATCATGCTAACATGATTAACATGTAGCTAGCATGATGCTAATCGTGTTAGCATCATGCTAGCAACATGGTAATCGAGTTGTTAGCATGATGCTGACATGATTATCATGATGCTAATCGTGTTAGCATCATGTTAGCAACATGCTAATCGAGTTGCTAGCATCATGCTAACATAATTAGCATATAGCTAGCATGATGCTAATCATGTTAGCATCATGCTAATCGAGTTGCTAGCATCATGCTAGCAGCAGTGCTAGGGTGCCCTGAGTGTTTGCTAGGTGGTTGCTAAGGTGTTGCTAGGTGGTTGCTAGGGTATTCTGAGTGGTTGCTAAGGCGTTGCTAGGCGGTTGCTAGGGTGTCCTGATTGGTCGCTAGGCCCTTACTAAGGCATTACTAGGCGGTTGCTAGGTGGTTGCTAGGCGGTTGCTAGGGTAATTTGGGTGGTTGCTAGGCAGTTGCTAGGGTACCCTGGGTGGTTACTAGGCAAGCCTCACATACATGCCTGATGAAATATTTATACTTAGTAAGCATTTCTAGCAAGTTACAGTACTTGGCTAGTCAATATTAGCATGTAGCTAGTCACTGCTAGCATGTGTAGCATATAGGAAGTTCCGTTTGCTAGCATGGGTCAAACGAGCCAATCCCCAAGTCTCTACGATGTTCCGATGCTGAGATATAGCTGTTGATGAATGGTTGCTAGGGTGCTCTGTTTTGTTGCTATGGGCGAGGTTACAGAGTGAACTTGAATGTGGTTGGCTGTCCAAGTCAAATGAGCCAACCCCCAAGTCAATAGGACACTGCTAAGCAAAGATATGCATGTAGGCCTATTTTAATGGAAGTCTATGGGACCAATTTGGGGGCGTGGCTTGTGAGCTTCATTATCATATCGAGATGCTCATTGGTTGTCTGAGTCAGATGAGCCATCCCCCAAGTCAATAGGACACTGCTAAGCAAAGATATGCATGTAGGCCAGTTATAATGGCAGTCTATGGGACCAGTTTGGGGGCGTGGCTTGTGAGCTTCATTATCATATTGGAAAGCTCATTGGTTGTGTGAGTCCAATGAGCCAACTCCTAAGTCTATAGGACACTGTTATGCAAAGATATACATGTAGACCCGTTAAACTGGCAGTGTATGGAACACTTATTAAGGGTATTTAAATGGATTTGGGGGCGTGGCTTAAGAGCTTAATTATCATATTGAAAAGGTGATTGGTTGTCTGAGTCTAATGAGCCAACCCCCAAGTCTGTATGACACTGCTATGCAAAGATATGCATCTGGTCTTATTATAATAGAAGTCAATGGGATCAGTTTGGGGGCGTGGCTTGTGAGCTTCATTATCATAAAGTGATGCTGATTGGTTGCCTGAGTCAAATGAGCCCACCCCCATGTCTCTATGACACTCCTATGTAATGTTATAGATGTCTGACCTTTATAATGGAAGTCAATGGGATGTGCAATGGGACGACCCACCCCATGTTAAGTCAATGGGGCAGTTATTAAGGGTCTTTAAATGGTTTGGGGGGCGTGGCTTGTGAGCTTCAAAATCATATAAAGATGCTGATTGGTTGCCTAAGTCAAATAAGCCAACCCCTAAGTCTATGACACTGCTATGTACTGTGATTGACATGTGAGTCAAGAAATGAATGGGAGTCAATGGGCAATGTAAAGTCAATGGGGACCCCTTTGGGACGTCCTAGCACCCCAGGGGTACAACTTATACCCCCTTTTGGGGTATGTTCTCATACAGGCTGCAACCCCCTACAGATGTTGCGAATCCCATATTTCTACGAATTTCACACTTGGCGATATAACGCTTTAAAGGTCATCCCATTTCGCGGGGGCGTTAGTGCTCTTCTAGAAAAATGAATGGGAGTCAATGGGGCCAATGTAAGTCAATGGGAGCACTTTAGGACGTCCTAGAGCCCCAGGGGTGCAACTTATACCACTTTGCGAGGTATGTTCTTCAATCTATTCTGGATTCAAAAACAACTATTTACATCATATGGACTCCAACGAAACAAACTTGCTGCAAAAATGCTAAGGGACAATATATACTTCTCCCTTCATCACCCATCAGTTGTATGTGCCACTGAACTCAGACCAAATGGCACACACATCCCTGATAAATGTCCAAATGACCAAAGGAACTTTAAATCAACTCCTGAGTGGACAACAATCACTGCTTACGGACACAGTGCCACCTGTACCCCCTGCACACTGAGCTCAGCACAAATAAACTGTAATGTATCAGAAGAGCATCAAGTCTCAGCACTCAAGGATGACCTCCAGAAAAAAAGCCAGGACAACTTCTGCAGCCCGTAACTCCAGAGCTACAGCCTCCATAATCAGACTTACTCTCCCTCTCACCTTGCTCACCTCTCCTGAGCTTTACAAAAAAGATATGTGGAACTGGTGTTCACTGGAACTAAACTCTTAGAGTCCATTGCTGCAAGCCCCCAGTTATCTTGCGGAAATGGAGTCTGAGAGTTTAGTTCCAGCAAACACCAGTTCCTCTATCTTTTTTGAAAAGCTTCAGAGGTTAGTGACTAGGTCCATACCCACCTCTGTGCCCACCTGTGAGAGCCCTCCAGCCTTTGCCACAGCCACATGCCCCAAAGAACGCCCCATCTTCTGCTAGTGAACAAAACAACTCTCAGTGATGTGTGTTAGGAGGCTGCTTAGATAACAGTATTGTTATCGGATGTTTACAAATCAAGCGGAAAGCCAGAATACCTGTTGCTTTCTCCACACAGATATCTGTTTTATGTGATAGAAAGTCAAAGGTCACTTTAAATCATATAGCAAATCATTAAAATCTGGTGTCTATTCAATGTAGATCTGAGACTACTGTGGGAAAAGTTATTAAACCTGTTAAGTTAGCCCTTGAAGTTTACTTAAAACTTGGCTAGATGAAAGTTGTAGTGCAGCAGTCCTAAATGAGGCAGCTCCTCCAAACTTTAATTTTATGAGTGTTTGCAGAGCTAATAGGAGAGGTGGAGTTATTGCTGCTTTGTTTAATGATGTCTACGAGTGTAAACAAGTATCAACTGTTGACTATTTGTACTTTGAATATCTGAGTATAGCACTGAAGGTTGCTCCACGCATTTTACTGATCATTATCCACAGACCTCAAAATTATTCTCCAACTTTTATTGATGATTTTACGGAGCTATTAACAATAGTAACCTCTGAATTTGACTATTTTAGTATTGCTAAGGATTTTAATATTCACATTGACAATACATAAATCAATTCTGTTAAAAGCTTATGACTGTTTGAAACAGTCTCTCTAAATTTACTTATAACTTAGGGTTTACACATTTAATTGATTGCTGTTAAGGATGTTGCACTGATCTGTTCATTTCGGTATTTTCTTTGATATATTGATCACTCCAGCCATTGAGGAAAAATCTGTCTTGGACGAAAAGATACGCATAAATGAGAATACTAGTGAACAGTTTACAAAGGTCATACCGCTACCGCAAGCATATCTGCAGACTGTGTTGATTTTCACATTGATTTGTTCAACTCTAAAGTTACAAATGACATGGATGACATTGCTCCTGTTACAGTCAGGAAGAGGACCGGGAGATAAAAAAGCACCTTGGAGAAACTCAACAGCAGTACAAATTGTGAAAAGACAGTGCAGAAAAGTTGAGCGCATGTGGAGGAAGACAAAACTAACTGCAAATGCAATGAGTTTGTTAATTTTGTTACTGATAAGATCAAAAATATCAGAAAGGCAATCAGTCTTTCCGACGTCAGACAGGCTCGACCCAACTTTATGTCTGATTTCAAGGCAATTGATGGTAAAATTTTGGAAGAGACT